AGCGTGCTCTTTCCAGAGCCTGACGGCCCTACAATCATCGCTCTCATCGGCAATTTAGGGACGACCTCGTGCTTGCTTTGCTTAAAGTCATATTTGATTTCACCAATTGGTTTTACATCAGGCATAATAAAATAATATTAAAAATATTTAGAAAATAATTTAATATTATTTATTGTGTGAAAGCATTGCTATGATATGAATGGTGTCCATCGTAGTAGAACAGGCTCTTTCATCAACTTCAATCAATAAGCATTGAAGATAATTAGTTTTGTGTCTTGCTCGCGTGTGCAATGAAAACCCAAGTGCTGTGCCCCACCAATATTCTATTATGCATGAAATAATAAGATGAATTAGAATAATTTATCTTATTATTTATATGACTATTATCCATTGCAGCTGTGGTAAAACTTATGATGACAAATATTTATTTAAACATCTAAATTCAAAACATCATCAGAAATTTGTGGAATATAGATGGAATAAAGACGATACAATGAAAAAACTTTACAAGAAAAGGAAGACAGAAACGAAAAACAATATCTTATTATTTAATATGAAAAGGAGTTATACAGATTATATTAATATAATAGATGAAATGGAGAATATAGAACAAGTAATAATAACTGACAATAAAATTAAAAAATGCTGTTTTTTATTCATTAGAAGTAATAAAATTAGGAATACAATATATCAAAAATAAAAATGTAAATATTAATATAAATGGGAAAAAAGAAAAACAAAAAGAATAAAACAGATACTACAGTTTCTTCAACAGATGAAGAAAAAGAAGAAATTGTTAAAGAAACAGCACTAACTGAGTTTGAGTGTCCTATGTGTAGAAAGATGTTAGCAATGAAGAACGAATTAGAAATTCAAAAGAAAGGAAATTGTAAATGTTCTTGTGTACCATTAGGGTTTACAATAACTAAAAATGATAAGAAAATGAATATTGATAAAACTAAGGACAGTATCAATCTGGAAACAGATGCACATAATATTTCTATCAAATTTGGAAATGAGGCAACAATGTCAGATAATGGTGACAACGAAACTCAGGAAACTATTAAACAAATGATGAAAATTTAGTATTTAAAGAGTAGATTTTACATTAAATCAATTTTATAAATAAATAAATATTTAAATAATTATCTAATTATTTGTATAATCATAATGCCAACTATGAATGGAGAAGACAATAGAGTTATAACTTTTGACGATGAAGAAATTAAAGACCTATTCGATGGTGATGAAAACTTTGCTAAACAATTGAGCGAAGAATATTTTTATTGGTTTGATGCTAAATTCAGTGATAAATATTTTATGAAAGGTAAAACTAAACCAGATAAATTTGATAAAATATTAAAAAATTTTGAAATTACAGGTGACGAGGAAGGTTTAATAAAAATGAACAATAAAATTGGTGAAAGACTGTTAGAATATAATTTATTTACATATATAACATTAGACCATTCAGGTAAACTGTATAATAAAACGCATAAATAAATATTTAAGTAAATAATTATATAAATAAATATATATAGAAATGTCTGAAGTTGAGAATGATGCTATTGCTGAACTATCAAAGAAAATAACGACAGTTAGTAAAAATGTTAAACTGTTGTACGAGATGATAAAAACTATTGACCAGAAACTTGATGCAAAGGCAAACGAACCAAAAAATAACAATGAAGAGAAGGAAAAGATTGATAAGATCTTTGAAAAGAAAGGGATAGGCAGACCCAGCGGTGATTATGACACGAAGCGTAAAAAATATTGTGATATGTTAAATAAGGGACAAATCAAAAGTCCAAAAGAACAAACATTAGAATACTATAAGATTATTAAGGAAGATGACAAATATGTATATGTCTAAAACATTATCTAAATCATTCTAATAAACAATATGAATTTATTAGAATTATTTAGTGGAACTGGAAGTGTAGGAACCATAGCAAAGTCACTCGGTTATAATGTCATCTCATTAGACTTGAAAAATGCTGATATTAATTGTGATATTTTGACGAGTTTGGTGGATTAAGGAATTTGAGTTGGGGTTGGAGTTCAAACTTGAAATTTCTAGGTTCATCCAACGACAACACAGTAAAATTTATGAAATTTAAAATTTTGAAAATGGTGAATTTTAAGGGGATAATCCATAGTTTACAAAATAAATAAAACACCAAACTATATATAGATATATCCAGAAACTCTTGCCAGTTGCCAAACAGCGCAACAAAAAATTGGCGAGAGTTTCCCCCTTATATAATATATACATATAAGAAAAAACCCTCCCAACGCCTCCCGTCCATACCTAGTAGAGGAAAGCCTTGTAGATAAAGTCCATGATGAAGATACCTGCGGGCACAAAGATGCGAGCACTAAGAAAATGGGGGAAGGGTAAAACGGGTGGTTGGCAGTCCTCAACCTTACCTGCCTCAACCTTTCAATACACTGCCCAGCAAATGCTCAACCTTTTTCCTCCCTTTCGCTGAGCGGTTTCTCAACCCAACCAAACTGCATAATCGGTAGGGTGAGTTCCTGATTTCAAGCACCAAAAATGCCTCATTTAATGCATGCACCGTTTTTGGTGTGTCCATACACCGTTTTTGGTGTGACCATACACCGTTTTTGGTGTGTCCATACACCGTTTTTGGTGTGTCCATACACCGTTTTTGGTGTGTGTCTTTGGTGTGTTTTTGATGTGAAAGAGGCATTTTCAGCGACCTATGCAACAGTGCAACTGTTTGACAACTGCTCCGTGTCGGCAGTACCTCGCCTTGCAATCTCAGCATCAATCTCACTCAAAAGTTGTGAATTGCCGTATTTCATAGCACCATCTGCATACTGACCATACGCATCCACGAAAATGTGCAAAAGTCCGCGGGAAAACTCGCTGTGCAAGTTCTGAAGGGATTTTGTGCCATTGTGCAATATGGACAAAGCAGGCACAAGGTAAGACATTGCCTGAAGGAACCTCTGCTCAGACCCTTCACCCCTTCCACCCCTCACAGACTTGCTCATGATGGAATGCACCGCCTTCAAATCGGTGTCGCCGATGCCACGCAGTGCCATCTTAAAGACCGGCACCCCCTGATTGACAAGCACCTTAATCTCTGCCAACTTCTCCTCCATCTCCTTCTGAAAGTTCTTGAAGTTCTCCGGAAACTGCACCTCTTCCACCTCTTGATTTTCTGGCACGACCTTCACTGCCTTGCCCTTTAGCACCTCCTTCGCCTTCTCCTTGGTAAAGTGCTGACGCACCAAAGCTCCTCCATCAAGCCCTCTCACACGAAGGTAAAAAGTGCGCGACTTCATCAACGTCATGGTAGTTCCGATTGTCCGCTCTTCATCAAATGCCAACCCACGGTTGCAACAAATCACCAAACCGGCTTTGTCCTCCTCGCTGATGTCCTGAAACTGCAACATGAACTCCTTGAGGTATCCAATGTTCTTCTGAACATCCACTGAACCGATGTACATATCAACCTTGGTGTGGTAGTTGCGGATGGTGATTTGCATCTGGTTCTTCTCATCCATCTGGCATTCATCTTCTTGGTCGCTCATCGGTGGCGTCTCCAACAACTCCTCCTCGCTTTCATCCTCAACCTCATCCTCAGCAGGTGCAACTCTGGGAAGAGGATTGAATGCCTCAGCATTTTCTTCTGGTGCTTGGTTGACAACCTTCACGATGCTGATGACCGAGTCGTTGGTGATGTTGTAACTGTGAAGTCTCTTTGAGTTCATCATCAACTGCTGGTCGCAGATGAGGCGCACATCTCCCCCAATGTGATTTCTCACATCCTGCACCAAAAACTGTTTGACAGTTTTGCCTGACGAAGTCGTCACATCAACCGTAGCACCAGATGCAAACAGCAAGACCACCTTGATGGGGGTAGTTTTCAATACCGCCTTCAACTCCCTCAAGGTAAACTGGTTGCGACGGATTGATGCACTGAAGTCATCATTCTCCGCCTCAAGTGCCTTAATGCGCTCCTGCAACTGGACAAAGGTCTCGCTTGGCGTAGCGGATGATGAGGCCGGTTCTGTATCTCTGAATACTGACTTCCTCTTTGGTACCAAATCAACTCCGTAAAGTCCGTGGGATGACAGAGAGATGAAGGTGCGCCTGATGATGACCCCATTGTTCCAAGGAATGATGCCGTTTTCATCAGAAATGCGGTCTTGCTTCTCCCTGAGCTCATTCGCCACCGCCAGATGCTGAACTGTAGGACTTGTCAGCATAAAGGACACAATCTCACCGCCCAAGTCCTTAAGCAAAGTCTCACTGACCGGTGCCTCCATCATTCCTGGAGAACCGTGCTTCAAGCAATGAGCAGACAGCTCAAAACCCAAAGCTTCCTGAACCAACCCCTTCACATCGCCCTTCGTGTCCAACTCGTTCATCTTGAGATGTAACCAGACACACGAGAACACGTCCACCTTCACCAACACCATTGCGGAAGGAATTATGCCAGAAACTTGTGCCAAAATGTGCTAGTCAAAATCAAACTTTCAAGGTTGCTTTTGAATGATGCAAATGCTCAAGGCATACACCTCAACCTCACATCCTGTCCCGTTGAGAACCCACCCCCAGCACATGGGCGCACATAGCAAAGATGTCCACGAAGAAGTCGTAGCGCGGACGGACAGGCGGTTAACCCTAAAAGAGGGACATCCCATAAACCTTACCATAAAAAACATTGTAAGATTTATGTTTTGAAATTATGGGGATTTTATATTTTGGGATTTTGGAAAAATATATTTTGGGATTTTAGAAAAATATATTTGGGATTTTGGGAATTTGGGATTTAGGTGGTAAAATTGGTTGAGGTGGCGTGCCCCTGTTGGTTAATATGGTTGAAGTGGTTGACTGAGGGGATTTTATCTGAACTGGGGCATGCCCTTTGGTAGGTTTAACACCCCCAACCCCATGCTTTCATACTCGCTCCCGTTCGCTCTGGCTCGCTCTGGCTCGCTCTGGTTTGCTCTTCGCTCGCAAGGCGGTGATGATCTTGAGCATATTGGCGTTGGACACACCCTGCACGGCATTGCTCCGCAGCTCCCAGGCTTGTGAACTTGAGAAGGGCTGAGAAGGACAAGGGCTGCAAGGGCTAGGTCAATCCCAGCTTCCAACCGCAGAATCATAGATAGCAAGCAGATCATGGAGTACCCTCAGGTCCTCTCCCAGGTCCTAGGCCGATTGCCGCAGATTTAAATCATGGTACAAGTGCTGGTGCCGCTTGTTAGATTTTTGCGGATAGCAACCCAACTGTTTTGTCGACGATCTTAGCACGCTCAACTGCACAAGGCTCTACTGACTGCTTTTAGACGAATCACGAAGGGATATTAATGCACTTGTCACTACCTTCATGCAGAGCCACAAATGCTCATTGCTCTGTGCTTCAACACTTCCGAGCTGGGGCAGCGCTTGCCGAGCTGGGGCTGAGAGATTTCTGGAATCCAGGGGCTTGCTCTTCGGCAAAATTTCAGATGGGGACTGAGTCATTTCTTACTCTAGGGCTGATGGCCTCCCGCTAGGTGATTGGTCGACTTCCTGATCTTCTAGCAAAGCCGGACAGCGACCTTTTGGTCAGCTCCTGAATTTCCGGCCGCTTTCAGTTGTTGGGCTGGTACGCCTAGCCCGAGAGGCGCCCAATGTGACGCGGCATCTAAGGTGCAGGTCCTCTTCTTGATGCGGTGCCTCCTCATGTCTGATGAGACACGGGACGTGAAATGCTGAGTGGACGAATGTCTCGGCTGTTCTGACTCACTGACTTGAGCTTGTCGCACATGCAAAGTCCGCCTGTGAAGACTCATGTTGTGTGCGTACATGCCAGAAGCCCAAGCCTTGAGCCAGCTGCACAGACCCAGGCTGTCCTACACAGTGATGCCATCGGCTGTGTCACGGACTGACTGGGGGCACTTCCCACAACTTGGAGACAGGTGACTCTAACTGAGGAACTGAATGGAACTGAGGGTTCCAATGTGAAGGCAGGCCAGGTCAGGCCAGGTCAGGCCTCTCCTCCAGGACTTGCTGCATTCAGAGGTCAAGGCCGAGCACGCCTTCGAGCCTTCAAGCCATTCCACAAGTGCTTGAAGCCACGCCGAGACAGGACGCAGCCCTGGAGTTGCTGGACGTGGTCGTGGCAGTCCACAGCTCGCTTCCGCACGTAGCTTTCGCACAGCCGCGGTGACTTGAGGTGGAATCGCTTGAGCCGGGCACCTGGACGCAGCGTGTCCAGGCGCGCCAGTACGTAGTCCAAGTCAGCGCGATGCGCGGTGCCCTGGTCAGGAGGCCAAGTTCATGCTGCACAACGAAGAGCCTTGGCCTTGGGGCAGCCTTGGCATATCTTACGGGTTCGGAGCCGAATGAGTTGAATGCAGTCGCCACTCGCTTGATGCAGGTGGCTCAATGGTGAACCCAAGGAGTCCAAAGAAGCCAAGGGCCGTCGCAAGGTCTGGGCCTTGGCGCTGCGAATTCCCTTGGCCAAAGCTGGGAAGCGAAAAAGCGAAAGCCTGAAAGCTAAGCTGATGCAAGATGCAAGCAGAGAGTGCCGAGGAGGAGAAGAGATCGCCATCGATGGAAGCATCGAAGCGCAGCACAATGAGCTCCACAGGTCCTGCACGTTGGGCCTCAGTCTTCGCGCCAAAGCCTGCTGCGTTGCATTCTCTCAGGTTGGGGCGATGAATCCCGGGAAGACAAAAGAAGCAGGAGGAAGCATCGCGGAAAGTGACTCGTCCGCCTTCTCTACTTGTGGACGTCTTCCGACTGTTTTCTCGAACTGAGGTGAGATGATCTGCTCTTCCAGGAGCGGCCACTTTGGATTACTGCACGCAGTCAGCTTCGAAGCTTGCTTGATCTTGACGTCTTTAAGGAAACTTAGAACGGTCCGGACTGATCTGGGCTTTGTATTTGCCAAGAGTCTTCTACTTGCTCAATGAGCCATCGTCCAAAGGGCGTGACCTTTGCGAGCTTGTGTTCTGGCGGTATTTGTTTTTGAAGATCTGAAACAGATCTTTGCGAGTGAAACGAAACGTTTCACATATCCATGTCCTAGCACGAGGCGCATGCTGAGTCACTGAACGATTCGATACCGGGCCCGTGTGGGATGGCTTCGTCAAAGCCAGCAGTGCTCTCAGGTCACAATGGTGACGCGGAAGTTGCACGCGTTTCATCCGGATTTCCGGTTGCCGACTCGGGTTCAAAAAGTCAAGGCTAAGCCGAATGCGTAGAGCTGAGCATTGCATCTTTGGCGACTGAGCAGCTGGCCTGACTGGATCAAGGTGCACGGACATGTGTTTTCAGTGGCATGGAACTATACACCGCTCAATGGACGAGAGGCAGACTGCCTCTATGCGGAACGCACAATAGGAATTGACCAGGCTTCCTCAAACTTGCAAGCCTATGCGAGCATTGCCTTTCGGGTGCAGCCACGGCTTCTAGCAGCTGGGATCCCAGCTGACTGATTGAGCGGAGAGTGGATGGATGTCAACCTAGGCAATGGCCATTCCTGAGCTGGAGGAGGACGATTTTGATATGAGGTGATGGTTTGGCCGGGTTCCGCTGCAGGATTTGCAGCTCGTCTCCCGCATCATAGGGTTGAGGTCCCGAAATGCATACGCTCAGGCACATGGCCATTTCTTGCATATCTTGCACGACTTGGGTAGAGGCTCAGACGTCAAAGATGTGCAACCTCCTCACGGAGTGGCAAGGGCGTCAAGAGCGCTTGCCTCAGGCCTTGATTGTGCGTTCGCTCCATGGCCTGCGTTTGAGGAAGGACGTGCAGCAACGGATGGACATTCGCAGGAGAAACCTTCAGGAGGGGATGTTAGTGAGACGCGAGCCGACGCACGCGGACGCGGTGCCAGGTGTTGGGGAAGTTCTTCCTGCGCCCAGTTCTTCCAGTGCAGGTGAGGGCGGGGCCGGGCGGGGGCGTTCGGACCGAGAGAGAGAGAGATGACACGGAGGCCTTCTCTGCCTGGAGATGCCGCGTACGGCACGTCTGGCGCGACGCCGAGCAGGCGCTCAGAGCTCCCGCGCCCAGAGCGCCCAGAGCGCATGGAAGGCGATGGCTCGGACGTGCCTCTCGGCGCGCGAGGCCCAGAAGTTGGAAGATCGATCCAAAGAATAGCACAAAAAAGCATGAAACATAATTAAGCACAATGGAAAGAACAAGGACGAGTTCGTCGATTGGGACGCACCGGACGAATCGGGCGAATGGCGTGGCGGTCATGAGGTTCTCTTCCTGGCGGCGCTGGGCATACGAGGACGCCCAAACCATCCTAAACCCTAGGACGAGCAACGAGTGAGTTAAGTGAAGGAGAGGCTGGCGTCCCGTCTTTCGCACGAGGCGTGGTGCGAAATAGGATCTGAGAGTGGGGGCACTCGTGCGCTTGCACGCGAGGCCAAAGCTTCTCAGGCCGAGTTCCGGTTTGCTTGAAAGTGCCTGCAGCTGCGCACATTTGAGCTAGTGACTGCAGTCGTTTAGCTCAGGACACATTGTGACATGATAGCAAGTGCCACCCTGCTCCAGCTGCTCTTGCGCCATGGTGTGCAAAAGCAAAGTGCTTAAAGCGCCAGCTTTGTTCGGTGCTACTGTAGCATCTGTATTTGTAGCCATAGTTCCAGGGCTGGTAATGGTACCACGCCGAGTGGCAGTGGCCGCGCCTGCAGTTGCAGCTGCAATATCAGGGGGCCAGCTACCTCTGACAGTGGGCAGGACACCCAGTCGTTTTGGACGGACAAAAGCCTTGGAATCAACGGACCCCAGGCCTTGGCACTTGCCTCGTGTCTGAGGGCGATGTGAGTAGGCACGGGGCAAACGGGGGAATGCCAAATGCACCCGTCAGGTGAGAGCGACCGCGTGCGACGGCGTGCGACGGCGTGCGACGTGCGACACGAGGCAGGTCACTACGGCGCTAGATTGCGGCTACCGCCTGATCGACACCGCCCAGCGGTACGGCAGCTCGGAGGAAATCTCACTTGTGACTTGAGACTCTGAGCCGCTGCCTTAGTGAAAAGCACCGCGCACCGTGTGGGATTGGCCAGGAAACGAGCGAGGAATCGGAAGAGCTTTGTCTGAAGCCTTTGCCAGCGGGCGTGTCAAGCGGGAGGATGTCTGGGTCACCACCAAGGCTCGTGAGAGTGCGAACAGCTTCCATGCCAGCCTGGCTTGCAGATTGCACGGATTGCAGGTTTGGCCCGCCAACTATGGGTACCAGCAAACCATCGACTCCGTGCAGGAGTCGGCCAACAAGCTGGGACTTGAGTCGATTGATTTGGTTTTACCACATTGGCCTGGTGTGGGAACCAGCATCGAGATGGCCGAGCAGAACGCAATTCTTCGCAAGCAGACGTGGAAGGCCTTGCAAGATCTGAAGTCAGAGGCTTGCAAGTGAAGGTAGGGACATTCCCAATTATCAGGTGCAGACGGCCTTTTCATTCTTTGTAAACACGCGGGCAGTCGGGCAGAGCACTTCATGTTTTGACTGTTAAATGTTGATTTACCGCCTTTCGTTCATCAAGTGCCATAGAAAGATGTGTTGCCGTTGCCAGTGCCAACGGTATTTGAGGATGGCCTTGTTCGGCAGATTGGCGTGTCGAACTATAACGAGCGGCATTTGATGGAACTGCTGGACTACGCCAAAGTGCGGCCCATGGCAAGTCAGTTCGAGATCCATCCCTTCAACTCCCGCGAGAAGCTGGTGAAGCTTTGCCAGGCGTGAGGGTGAGCTTTGTGGCTTTTCGCAAGTTCACCTTTCTCAGGAGTTGGGCATCAAGGTGAACGGATACTCTCCTCTTGGTGGCAAGGGAAACCCGAAGCAGGCGCTTGAAGGCACTCGCAATGCTGATCATCAGACGAGCCTGACAGGTCACAGATCAACTGCTGTCGCTAGAGATGCTGAATCAAATCGGTGCGAGACATGGCAAGACGCCTGCGCCACTGGGCAGAGATGCGGCTCGAATGCGTTGTCATGCTGTGTGCAGATGTTGTATGACTCATATGACCTTGTTGAAGCAGAAGGTTTGTTCTCGCAACCTGAAATCCAAAGACCAAAGAGTGCCACTTCCCCAAGTCGATGTCCTGCGAAATCGTGACACTCCGCCGGAGTACTTGAGCCCAACCGGACAAACGTGTGGATGTGGCACTGACGCCTTTCACAAGGTCCAGACTGAGCCAAACACAACGCCATTGGGTGCGACACCAGCACCCCTCTCCGATGCCCAAGGCAAGTGCTGCAAAACGTGAACTGATGAGGGTGCAAACCACTGCTATTGGCGCCTTCGTTTCCACTAGATAGCTCCAAGACGCTGAAAGCTGTTGGGGTACTTCCCAAGGGGAGGTGATTCCGAGCACCTTGAATTCGAAGTGATATCACTAGGTGCTGGTGGGTGGTTTCGGGGGTTCGCCAAGAATTGCTGGCATGGCTAATAGGGGACCCCGGGGAGACGGGCAAATTCTGCTTTCGCCTGGCTCGCGAGGCAGGTGATCCTGCGGTGGCACCTGCAGCGGGACACCACGCCCATCCCAAAAGCAAGCAGTCGGGGGCGGCTCGTGGAGAACTTGGACGTCTTTGGCTTCGAGCTGAGCGACGTGGAGATGCGCGACATATCGTCCCTGGACAAAAAGCGCTTCGCCATCATGGACTCTGAGGTCTTCCTCTGAATCCGACGGTCCGCGGCAGGAAGTAGAAGGATCCTGTGTACATACATTGAATGTATTTGAATGTTTAACTGCTCGGAAAGAGAATGGGTGCATCAAGGTTTCGGATCTATCGGTGGGACGTTTGTGCCATTCCCGCTTGGGCTGCCTGTTGCAGGCGCATGCTGAGCTAAGCACCCTGCGTTTGCGGCTGCTGCGAGAGCGTCCGGGTCCCAGACCCGCAATGCAAGCATCTAAGCAACATGGAGCAAGAGTAACCAGAGTAACCAGAGTAACCAGAGCAACCAGAGCAACAAGAGTGTCAGGGTAGCTTGGTTCCTTTGCCGCATTCCAGCCAGGAAGAGCCCATCGACTTGCAGACACACGAGCCAACCTTGCTGTCATGCAGGCTGAACTGCGCAAAAACAAGTGCAAGCAAGCACCAAGCGTCAGGTCATTGGTGGAGGATGCACTTTGGCACCCTGCATCTCGGATTCAAACTGTGATCACTTGGATAGCATGGACTGCATTTCTTCAAGGTGCCTTTACTCGAGAGCTGGCAGCTCTATGCTTTTGCGCCTGGCACTTGCACACGGCGGCAGCCCCACTGCATCACAATCTGCAAAATCCTTTTTGGCTTTTCTGAGGCAAGCCATAGCGGCGCGAGCCAGAAAGCTCACTGGCGCTCAAACCGGGAAGGTCCGACCGCCCGACGGCCGAGACCCAGTCGCGCCTTGCAGCTCAGATCTCAAGGGCATTGTGCCATAGAGCGACATATATCCAGGGGGAGACATTCAAAGCTCGCCCCTCGGCCCTGGAGGTCAGGGTCTCGAATCCAGCCAGAGTGGCTTTGGTCCATTTGGGCAAAGGGTCTCGCGCTCAGCTGCATGTTTGGGCTTGTAGCCGACACGTAGAACCTCTTTTGGTTTTAAATCAAACTAACTACTGGGCTCAAACGCAAAGAGCTGTTTGCTGACAGCACCTACGCTATTGCGCAGAAGTTGGCGCTTGGAGTGGATTCTGTCGGCGCTTGGGAGACATGTCAGAGGCCAAGGCTCCATATGTTTTGCTTTGAATGCAGGCTTTTGCTCACTGCCGTTCGTCTTTGCGCCTCCTTGCGCCTCTAGATTTCTTCTCACAGCGTGGTGTGACTCTGCATAGGATTTGCTTTCTGTTGCAACGGTGGGCTCTATTTGTGTTACATGTTGGGCAGTTGAGCACGACTCGAACAAACCCAAGTGCACTCAAACTGCAGTCTCAACTCTTAGATACTTATTACAACCTGCTTTGAAACACCCTGCTTTGGCACAAAACCAAAGGTTAGGGGAGCTGAAAAAGGCTAACTTTTTCCATTCCGTGTTTTGCTTGGGTTTGCGCCGTGTCTATGATGGGTCGTGTAGTCGATGTGTTGCTGGAACGCGCTATTGCGTTTGCACCCTGGCTGCTGGAACTGTTTCTAATATTCACCTTGGTTGATGCGCAACACCAAATGCTGGTATGCGCCTTGCCGACCATAGTCTGCGCAAGCAGCGGCGTGTGAGCAACAACATGACGGGCGTCAGCCGCCAGATCCTATTTGAGGGCAGCGCGATACAGGAAGTGCTCGAATGTGCCCGCGCAAGCGACCCACATGTGGAGCGGGGAACAAGGGGTGCATTTTCAAGGTGGGAGTATTGGGGTCAGTGTCGCTTTCCTTGTAATATGTTTAAAGTGCGCTTTCCTTGTAATATGTCGCTTTCCTTGTAATAATGAGGCATTTTCTTTTTGTTGCCAGTTCATGCTCTTGGGTTGTTTTGCTGCACAGTTGCTGCGTTAGCCTTTTTTAGCTTTTGTTAGTTGTTTGTTAGCTTTCTTTAGCTTTCTGTAGATTTTTGTAGCTCCCAGCAGGTTTCTTATTGGAATTTGTTAGCTCCAGCATGTTGGCCCGCGCGCTTGAAGCAGGCTGTTTCAAAGCGGTATGTTACATGTTTCAATGATCAACACGCAAAAGTCCCAAAGTGTCGGACACGTGGGCTGGGTTTAGACCGTCGTGAGACAGGTTGATCGAAGTCAACACAAGATGACTTCTAGATACTTGGCTAATGCGGCTAGCTGAAATACAACGAGCCTACTTGTATGACTGAACGCCAAGTCAGAATCCATGCGAATCCCCCTTGCAACACGCCGGCTTCGGCTCTGGCGGACTCCAGCCGTTCTTTCGCTTGGGGATGGATTCCAAGGTTGGCAAAGCGCTCGATGGCTGCATGCGTGCACCTCGGTTAGTCTCAAATCGAGTCGACGTGGCTTATCTTAGGCTTTACGCCATGGCGGTGGTGGGTCCGTCGAACACGGTGGCAACAGCCCGGCCCTTTGTTTGCCATACGTGGAGGTTGGCAGAGAATTCACTCTGGTTCCTGTATTCAGCGTGTTTGAACTGAGAGGCGAATGGTCTCAAAGACAAGATCACTATCACAACGGGCCTTGCTCAGCGCGCGTGAGCCTCGCATTGTGCCCGAACCGATTGCGCAGAGCTGGCGCTGGAGGCTCCTGCGAAACTGGAGTGCTCCGAACTCAGGCTTCATAAAATCAGGTGACCGCATTCGGCAAGGCGTTGCAGGGAAAAGCCATCTATACCGGCTAAGCACGTGGAATGTGTGGACAAAGACCTGAAAGAAGAGCCAAGCAGGATTTCTGTGAAGCAGGAGGTCACAACGTCAGAAGCATCTTCTGCAGGCAGTTGCATTTTGGAGCAATGGCCTCGCATCCATGCTGCACCTCGAATGGACTTAGAGGTGCTCTCTTTCCGCGAAAAGTGCCCCACCGCTCTCCTGGGAGATCTCAAGCCGAGCCGATTTTGGCTGGATCTCGCTGGGTCGGCCAGGCAGCACTCGCTCTGGCGATTTGCAGCTGGCATCGGTCAGTTCGCAGACTGCGCAGACAAGGTCCGAACTTCGAGAGCTTTACTGACAACGCTTTGGGCGTCTGGAAGGGATGGTGTTCGCCGTGGCTTGACTTGGAGAAGCCGTTTCTCGATTTCACGCCGGCGGTCACCAAGGTGATGCCCATTAAGCGGAATTGCGCTGCGTGCGCAGGGGTTATTCAAGGCGTTCAGGACTGGACCCGGTTGGATCGGGATGCGAAAGGCTTCGTATTTTTTGATTGCGGCTCATGGTCCACCGAGAGGGAAGAAGGCCAAGCTGTCGTAGCAACCTTTGCAGTACAGGATGGAGAGCGTCGGCGAATCACGAGTTGCAAGCTGGCTGGTGGGCGGGTCGAGGCTGTCCAAGTGGCTCTGCAAGCTCAAGTTGGGTCCGGTGTGGAGACGGGCTCGGGCCGTTCGGGCTGTGGCTGTTCGGGCCTGGCCCAGATCGCCACTTGGAAAGGCACCGGCCTGCAAGGCACCAGCAAATCCGTCTTTGTCTCAACACGGGTGTCCTGGAGACGCGTTTCCGAGTCCTTGTTGGAACTGTGGCAGGGGGCTGTGCAACTTCCTGTGCCCGGACTGGTAGCCCTCAAACCAAATGATACAAATGGATCAAATGGATCAAATGGGTTTTGGCTTGTGGTAGGGGATGTGCATGAAGGGAGAGCCAAGTTGTTGGCACGGCAGTACACGGAGAACGCGAGACTGGAGTCTGTGGCGATTCTTTGCCTGGAAAAGTGAAAGTTGTGGCAAAAGCCATGCCGTCGCATTCCTGAAACGCAGCCGACTGGCCAATTGCGCAGAAAGGGCGTGGGCGCCGGAAGTCCATCCTCCATTCTCCATCCTTTGCCATCCTTTTGCATTGCCAAGGCCTTGACCCGCACGCGTGCAAGCCGTGCAAGGCCCGGGCCGAGCCAGTCGGAGGCTGGGCTGAGAACGTTGCAATAGGAACCTGTCTTATCAGACTGAGCTTACAGCTCTAGTCGAGGCTTTGATGTGACACATGGTGGAATTTTGCCCCTGCTTTGGAGAAAACCAACGCATTGTCTCCTGAGAGTACTTGTTTGCCTCCGAAGGTGCTGAGATCGCGGATAGCATTGGTCCTGCGTCGAGCATCCGAAAATGCTGATGCGTGCCGCGCTAAGTTGTTTATTGTAAACGCTTCGCGTTGCCCGCCTTTGAGATACTGTGTTTTGCTTTGCCTAGTTTGCCTTGAAGTGTGAGTCGGCACCAAAATACACGGGCCGGTTTCCATCAGGGTTCGGTGCATGTTCGCGAGCTTCCACATGGCCCATTTTCTGAGATGTTCATGAGTTCTCAAGCAGTCTTCGCTTAGGTTTCCAGTTGGGCAAGTCATTTCTTCGCACTCGATCCAGCTGCTTTTGTGTCTCCTTGTGGTTGAGGTGGGTGTCAACGTTGTCGCTAAAGCCATTTTGGCTAGAGAGGCCTATGGCCCTTAGATCGGGCTAAGAGCCCCGCGTCATTGGGGAGAAGACAGTCCTCACAGCTCATTTCCTTCCCAGGCTGTCCGCTTGCCCCACTTCAGTGGGCAGGGGTTCAGCATTTTGGCCTGCAGTTGCTGGGGTTTCGCTGTTCTGTTTGCCTGTTATTGGCTTCGCGAGAGTTGCGGCCTTGGTCCAAGTTTAGATTCTCCAATGCGGTTCCCTTGCGCAAACAGCAGACAGATGGTGCAATATTTTGTGAGTAACACAGCCGGTCACTCTTTAATGATACTCTAGGAATTGCGCAGCAGTGAAGTGACTCTGTAGTCAAGCATGTTGACAGCGGCAAGTCTTTGGACAGGAGAACAAGCGTCGAACACCACCTCTCAGGTGCTTGCTTCAACGGGCTTTTTCTGCAATGAGGCGGGCTGAGAGCTTTGCGGAGTTGCATCTGTTGCATCCAATACCATGGCTCAGGCTCTGCAAAGTGCCGGCCTTGGCCTTCTTTGCCTTGTGCCTTTGCCAAGCTTAGCTCACCTTTTTGGTTGTGACACTGCGTGTGATTTGGAGCGTGTGATGCTTGCAATGCTTGTGTGCTTGGCTCGAGCTCTGCACAAAGCGGGGCTCTGCAAGCTGCTCTGCAAAAAGCAGGAAGCTCTGCAGGCGTGAAGCAGAAGCCAGGCTACGAGAGCTTCCAGGATTCACATGAACACGTGGTCCAATCGGCGCATTGACGCAGATGCTGCATCTCCCTTGCGATGTGCACATCGGTTTGTCCCAAACATTGGGTATGTCCGACAGGATCCGACAGGTTTCAATTTTCATTTTTCATATTTTTCCCTTTTCAATTTGAATTCGGATCCCGGCCATGGGCGCGGGTGCCTCGGAGCCGGAGCGGGAGCCGGCCTGCTGCTGCAACGACTGCGCGCCCGGGGAATTCGTGGAGGCGCCGCCGCCGAAGTCCGCGGCGGAGAGCCTGGAGCAAGGCTTCAACGGCGTGAAGTTGGCCAAGGCGCCAATTGTTCCTTTGAGCTTCGAATGCGCTGCGCTTCCAATGGGCTTCGAACATGTAGACTTCTGTGGCATTTCGGCATTTCTTAGTGTCTTGCAGTGCACAAAGAGGGCAAAGAGGCGTGCAAGGACAACGTGTGCCCCAGGTAGGTGCCAAAGCTGTAGCTGGCCTGCAAAATGCAGCTGGCGTGGTGATGGATGCTTTGGAAGACGATGGCGAATCAGAGGAGTCTGGTGGCAAGGCACGTTCTGGCATGAAGCCTGGGTCAATCTTCAAGCATGTTGCGCGTGACACGGGCTTTGCAAATACGCAGACACGCGTGCGCAGCCAGGGCAGATCAGATATCAAAGCAGAAGGCCCTCCGGGACGGTTTGCGTGACAGCAACGCATGAGCATGGCTTAACTGATCCGGGCTACTTGAATTTTGTCAATAGCTGTCCTGCCGTGTTCGCTGCATGCATAAAGCATGATTTGAGGGAAAAGAGCTACGGTGTGTGCAGGTCACTTGTGGGTTCAGCTCGAGTCCTACATGCATCACAGCCACATCACGGTGAAACTGGTAGGGTTTTGCATGGCCGTCGCTCTCCAAGTTACGTCCGTCATGGGGATCGTGGGCCTTTTTTCTGCCGACTTCGAAGCCTTCGAGTACATGCACTCCGTTTGGAACATTGCCTTTGGTGGGTTGATGATTCTTATGGATTCTCGGGCCTCATGGCTCGGCAAAATGGCCCCTTGGCAGACTGCACTTTGGCAACAAGCTCCAATTCTTGCAAAAGCCAGGACGGACGAAAGGGGCTGGTCGTTCCTACCAGTGTTGGCATGCTCAAGCACAAGATTCTTGCTAGCTGCTAGTCCAGTGTTGGTGGGGATGCACGTTTTTCCCCTACCCTTCCCAAGCCTAGGGAAGGAAGACCGTGGAAAATCTGAGCGAAACAAAAGAAAGACAACGTGCAGCATGTTCTGACTCTGCTCCTGGGGGGTTGTTTAGGGTCGGTTTAGAGCGGGTGCGTAGAGTGGATAGGGTGGGCTTTGCATGGCTTAGGAGTTAGACTAGACCTTGCCCATCTTTTTTCTATAAAAAAACCTAGGGTCCTCCCCACACTTTTAGCAACATTTTAAAACAGCACCTCAAACAGCACATTTTCAAAAATTAACATTTTAAAGCAGGTAATTTCCTAGTAAGTTCATCCATATTTTAAAAAATAAATTTTACAAAATTTTAAAAAAGAAATTTTAAAAAAGAAATTTTAAAAAATAAATTTTAAAAAACAAATTTTAAAAAAGAAATTTTAAAAAATAAAGTTTCAAAAAAAATATAAATTTTAAAAAATAAATTCTAAAAAATAAATTTTAAAAAAATAAATTTTACAAAAACATTAAAAAATAAATTTTACAAAAAAAATAAAAAAAAATAAATTTTCAAAAAAATATTATTCCAAAAATTATGATATTTTTTTTACAATAAATTTTATCACAATTTTTGTAGACATATTATGGGCAAGGTCTGGTTCATTCGTTTTTTAACGGGCACCATTCTTCTTTAATTCTTTCTATTATTTTATCACACGTTGTTTCATTATAAATATTACTTCCTATTTGTTTTCTAAACATTCCCATTATTCCAATTGCACGTGTTATTGTATATCTAAGTTCGTGAGTTTTATACTCACCATTTAAAAACTCATTTAAAAAATCAAACAATATAACATATTTTAAACGTTTAATATTAAAAGAAACGTTATATATTTTTTTTACCATACTATAATACTTAAAAATAAAATCATTATTATATCCTTCGTCATCACACTCAGTTAGTAAATTATCAAACCCTTCTATAGTTAAGAAATTATTCATTACAATAAACACAAATATTTCTAAATCATCATCAAGAGTTTCATTATTTATAATATCAATATCTTTGTTATTCATATCATCAATTTTGTTTATAATTCTATTGCAATTATTGCATATAATGTATTGACAAATATTATTACAAACGCCATTTGTAAAACCGCGTTCAATTGGTAATTTTAGCATTTCACAGTCTTTGCATTTATAACTCATAAACCTTTTTTTCAATATATTTTTAGCATCATGGACTGTATCACTCATCAAACTATATAATAGTATTATAAAATATTTCTTTAAATACTTTTACAATAATTTTAATTTTAAATTAAAATTAAATTAATAAATTAAAATTAAATTAGGTTATGTAGATAAAATTTCATAATTTAAGTTCAGGATAATAATTTAATTGATGACTACTAAGTTGTATATATAACTTATGTCTTTCATGCATTATTTTTAAAATAATATTAATATCTCTCACTGTATTTTTAACATTAAACTTTTTACTTTCAATATATGTTTTAATGTCTTCTTTTACATCAAAACCTTCCCTACTATAATAGGTCAACATCCATAATATACCTTCAATCATTTTATATTTTTTCTTACTGATTTTTAGAAATATTCTAACATAACTATAAGGTGGTCTTCCGTACACAGTTAAAAATATTAAAATGTCATCTTCAACATTTCTTTTATCTATTTTTTTAATCTCCAAAATATTTTCTATTATATTTTGATATCGTCGCCATCTTCTACAAGTTCTACAAACATCTTCTTCGCCCAATGCATAATCAATAATATTATTCACTATTCCGTCATGTAAATTCAGTTTATACAATTCTATATTTTCCTTTTTGAAGTGGCAACAATCATAGCATTTTTTATTGATATAACTATTGATTTTGGTTTTCATCATCTCGCTATATAATATATATAGGTAATATTTCTTTAAATACTTTTTACAAGAAATTTAATTTTAAATTAAAATTAAATTAATAAATTAAAATTAAAATTATATTATCATAATTAAATTAAACATTATAATCATTTACAACTACAATTACATAATTTACAAAATGGGATGATATTTTCTATTGTATGAGTTAATTCATTATCTTTTCGTTGTGCTGTTAGATTTGTAATGATATTACCATTTTTCATATCAATAGTAAAACCACATCCGCAGTAATTACATTGATTATTTATATTATCTAGAAACCATTGAGTATTTACATAACCTTCTCTAGGTATGCTTCTTTTTGCTTTCCTGTCTTGTTCCTTATAATTCAAAATTTTCCTTTCAAAATAACTCATAATACATTTTTGATTAAATACATCATCAACATCCTTTGTATATTTATAAAATTTGACTTTGTTTAAATCACGAGCACGTGTTACCGCTGTAAAAATCCATTCTGGATAATTCTTTACCAAAAAATGATTATAATCAAAAATTGTTATGGTGTCATCAATGCTACTACCTTGAGTAGAATGACATGTAGAGCAAGAAGAAAATATAAAATTGCTTCTTATTTTAGCAATTTCTACGGATTGTAAAATTTCGGTTTTTACATTTTTTAATGTAAATATTCCATCACTTCCAATATGAACTATTTTATATTTGAAATTTACATTAAAAACTGATGTTTTAGTTTTAGTATATTCTCTACAAATTAAAAATTCCCCTACTTCATATTCATCTTTTCTATTTTCTAATTTTCTAATTTCATTTGATACATTTTTACAAGTTGTATTCAAAAATGCTATGTTGTTTTTGGAACTACTTATGTCTGTGGTGTATTCAAAATATTTTTCAATAATAGTTTTAATTGGTAATTTATTAATAAAAATATCATATTTTATATTCTTGAGTTTATCCTTATCTTCCTGTGTGTTAAGTCTCTTACATTCTTTCAATATTATATTATGTGTAAAAATATTATCTATAATATTGTCAGTGTATAATTCATAGTCTTGAGTATTTGTTATTTCTTGCACTGGTTTTAATTGCTTGGTGTCTCCTGTTGCTATTATAATTTTGTTGTGCTTATTCTGTTCTACAAATTGTTTTATTCTCCAGTATATATTTAAATTACTAAAATAGATTTCATCAAATACTATTACATCAAATTCTGTAAAATCAAATGGTTCTAATTTAGCATCTCCATAATTAATACCAAAGAATTTATTTATCGTCATTGCTTCTCCTTCAAATGCCTGTAATAGTTTATTAGTAGGACAAATAAAAATTACCTTATAATTTTTATCAACCATTTTTTGACATATATATGATTTTCCTGTGCCCGGTAGTTCACCTCTGATCATAATAGGATTATTCTGTTTAACAATCTCTATAATGTTATCAGTGTCGTATTCATCTTTAATATCAATAGTTTTACTTTCATAAACTGGTATTTTTATTAATTCATTATTTACAACGTTAAATTTTACTGTAGGTAAATTAATTTCATCTCTCTGCTTTGAAACTTTCCAACCTCCTATATCATCATGAAATTCTAATAATTGCTTTGTTTTTTCTTCATTGCATGTATCAATTACAAAAGCATCTGTTTTTACACTATATATATTAATATTATTAGTTATTAGTGTCTTAAAGTCTT